CTTCAGAGCATTTCACGTCTTTGTCACATGTGAGTCAGGCACATGAAAGAAAAGCAATATAAAGATATCTGGGCTAAATATGCTGTAGGTGTCTGGGCTGCAAGGTTACAGTTTGTTAAAGGTAAGGGCTTGGTAAATGAATAAATGGGTATGTTCAATTAAGTGCTGGAAAGACCAATTTCTCCTTAACTTCAAGTCCAAACCTTCAAACTAAATTGCTGCTCCTATAAACATAACAGTTTAAATTTAGAAGAAAATAAATGCAAATAGTAAAATGGGATAATTAATTTTGTGGGGGGGGTTTATGTTTTTTACACAGAGAAGCAAACTTTCAAAAATCAAAGATGAGATACTATGTTTGAAAAAAAAATTCAAATGTGAAACTGATTTACCTACTGAAAGCTGTCCCTGAATATAGAAGGAAACAATATGCCCATCATTTTGTCCCTCTGTGCCCTGTGTTGGACTGGGATTGGGTCCTCTGGTGTTCATTTCAGAAGGCTCCTCCAGTTTATCTCCTGACCCCCTTGACTCGAGCATTTACCAGGTGGATTATGTGGGTTTTTGGTGGTATATCTGCTTTATAACTAAAAATGCGGCATGTTCTGCCTTCTCCATTTTCTTTCACTGTATTATCTCTCACGTTGACATTTGGGATAAGGATTATGGAGTCGTCATAAATGAATGCTGCTGCTTTGTGTTACTATCAGTGTTGACTTTGCTCTCAGACTGGGGCTTGTGTTGCAGGACTGAGCCAGGCCCCATGTCTGTGCTTTCCTTTTACACTTCACAACTCATGGCAGTGTTGAAGCCAGTCGAGACTAAAATCCATATGGATTAAGTTGGAAGTTTAACAGTCTACTGAGACTTCCTCCTTACCCCTCCTCTAAAGTGGGCTCCCTCAAGCTTGACTAGCAATATTATTGCGTTAGAAGTCAATGTGGTGCACTTTACACACATCTGCTATATGGGCTTTACAATGGAACAGCTAAATAGTACATGTGAGTATGTGTTTGGTCTTGCCAGCCTATCTTTCATTCACTAAAGAAGGTAGTTCATCTTTGATGCCAACTCTGTCTCTCTTCCTTCCTCTCCTTCACAGTCCCATCATCTTTCTCCACCTCCTTCCCTCCCTCTGATCCCTCATTTCCTTCCTCTGTCTCTCCCTCTCTCTAATCTACTGCAGTGACCTGAAGGAGGGCTTCACACTGCAGCGCTCAAATAATAATCAAGCACTAGGATGTTGTCAAATTTATAGGACACTGAGCGTTGCATAGCAACAGAGATCGCCCGGGTGATCCAACAGGCGCTGGAAGTTGTGTGAGGAGAAACGATGCAAGTGACAGGAGACAGGAGAAGGGAGAGATGAGAAGAAAAACCAGGAGACAGGAGAGAGGGATGAGTGGAGAGTAGCAGAATTGTATTATATGAAAAGACAGAGATAAGTGAGAAATGGTGAATCAGAAAAGGAAATGAGGTTAAGGTTGGCTTAGCTGAAAGAAAAGATTTGCACACCCACTGGTTTTGTCTGCTTGCCATTCTGTTAGTATAATTCGAGTTATAATTATCATCATTATGACATATTTCTCTGTGGCATTCTGGCACACACACAGGTGGTGTTAAGTTTAAAAGTGGCTTCGATATACAGCAGCTGAGCAAACTAACCATTTGGTCCAACCCGAAGGCAGGCTGCTCGTTTGCTCTCGCTAAAATCCTTCTACATCAAGGAAAACTTTTTTTTTGTCACACATTTCAGTTTTTCTGCTCATGTTTTTCACATTGTCTCACATTGTTTTTGAGTCAAAATCCTCAGTCTCAGTTTAGTCTTCATCTTCGTTGCCTAGAAACTGCTTTGGACGGCAGTTCACCTCTGACAGTGTTTTCTTGGTTGTGTGTGTTCTCCACCAGAAAAACAGTAAAAATAATAAATAAATAAAAAAAAAGCAATGAGACAAAATTACAATAGAGCTTTGTATAAAGTTGTAGAATTCCTGGTTCTGCTCTGGAAAATGAGCAGTTTTGTTAAGCACATTCTTAACTATCAGCATCTTCATAGAAAAGTTTGTGCTGTTAACAATGACAACAGCATAGTGACTGGTTTTTAGCATTAAATGCATCCTCAGTGCTCATAAAAGTTGAATATATGATGCTTTTCCCTGATAGTTCTACAGTGAAGGCAGGAAGAGATAAGCAGACACTGTTAACATTTACGCTAATGAATTGACAACCACTGGTATCGTCTGGTTTTTAGCTTGTGCCTGTAAACATTTATAGTTATCTGCACTGACAACAAACCAACACACTGTTTTTAAAGTAACTGAAGGAAGAAAATCTCCAACATGACTGAACATGATCATAAAATGACTTCAAGTAGTTTTCCTTCAGCTGCACATTTATAAAAGTCTAGGAGGTCCAAACATGACATTTAGAATTGATCAAATCACTGGAATAGCATTAATACGGGATTCAACTTAAACCCCTAACTCGTGAAACATTTCACACATATCAACTTGAGCAACAAAGCATTTGTTGCTCAAGTTGATATGATGTGTTAAAGGAGACAGCTTGCTGGATGCTCATGGACACTATAGGGCTGTTGTTGGCATCTTGACCATTGTAGCACTCCAGAGCCAGCATGTCTCTTCAGAGGTGGTTATCTCACTGTGTCACTGGCAGGTGTTTTAGTTTGGAGTGTCACCTGAGTACAAACGGTGATGACAGCTGTGCTCTGGACTAATTATTCCTTGTCAGTGTGTGCAGAGTTGTTGGGGAATGCTAACCAGCAGACAGAAAAGTGTCCATCTAACTTGGTGTAGTATTTTTAATGGACTGCTTTATTGTGAAACTGTTGGTGTCCGCAAATACTAAATGGATAAAGGCAGGATTCACTGCAGGGCTGATAAAGGCAGTAATCCACATTTAAAATGCTTTTCCTAAGCAGAATTATATTTTTTGAAATATTTCCTAAAGGGAATTTTCAATTATTGAAATAAACTAAAGCAAAGTCATGTCACCTTATTAAGGGCCATTTTATAACTTGTAGACAAGTGTGTAAGTAAAATCAGGCCAAAGTTTAATAACATGAACTCAACCTCATATCATTATTTAGTTGCTCTGACTTTATTTGTTGAGAACTGAGGATTTATTTTGATGATGATATGCAAATACGTGGACACATAGTTATGCACTTTGGAGTTAAAAGAGATGTGAGGGCAAATGTGGAGAAATTATTTTGAAAACTGCATTATTCATGACCTACTTAGAATAATAGCATATGAAATATTTATTAGCTAAATTACATATTGATGTAATCTGCTATTGTCGTGGAGTTCAGGGAAGAAAGGGCAGCGAGAGGGGCTGAGGCTAGAGCAAATGATCTTTTTGCAAATGTAGCAATGATTCAGTGTCAACCTATTCATTATCCGGGAAAGAGAAAAAAACAACACCATCCATCCTCACCATAATACTTTGTGTCTTTGTTTTTGAAAAAGAGACTTTTTACATAAATGTGAAGTGTTAAATCTACACTCTGCTCTAGTACCCAACCAAGAGATTATTCCAACAGGATATAATGTCAGTAAGTAAAGGTATAAAGGTGCTGTGCCCGC